CTCAGCATCTCAAATGAGTTATTGAGGAACTGCAGTAAAGGAAAGCAGAAATCTGCCTTTCAGCTGGTGTGCTAGAGTTGGTATTGTCAATACTTTCCTCGAACAATATGTTTCTATTCCTAGAAAGTGCATATAAGCTTACATATTACATAAACAGACTCATTTAAAGGGCACTTTTGCAGGAAGTACTGCTGTTGGATAGATTTTTAAATCAAGCGGGGCATGAGCCAGAAGTGGGTATTCCATAACTTCCTTCTCAATAGCCTGTGTGTTTAGACTCCATTTCTTCTGCTTGTTACTAAGAGCCTCAGATACCCTGAGCAAAGAAGGTTCTCCTTGTTTAGCCAGAAAAAGCAGTCTGGAACAGGGTTTTCAGACTTTTGTTACAGCTGCGGAATAAAGATGAGAAATCAGTGTTCCAAGTAAGTGCTTTTACAGTCATGGCAGAGTAGACTCTGTGATGCATTATGTGCTAAAAGAGGAAGAGATGTCAGGAGAAGCTAATAAGGTTAAGCGTATTTCTCTTTTGGCTTTTCAGCAGAGAATCTTACTTCCTGTGCTGCATTATACTGATCAGCTCTAGTATGCGCAGAACAATGCAGAACGTCAACTTAGTGGTGTTTTTTTTTTCCCTTTATTGTTTATACAGTGGAATTTTTTGTTCCAGTTTTCTTATAGACCACTGTAGGCTACGTGTCTTCCTTAGGATTAAGTGTACTGTTGTGATTTGCATGGGTGAAGAAAATCTAACTCCGAATTTTGCATTTTTATTGAAAATATGAAAAAAAAATCATTTTGTTACTGTCCTCTGGGAAATAAGCTGCAGCATTTGAATAGTGCATAGAATTACATCTAAGATTGCAAGTCTGTGTGTGGGAGGAATGGCATAGCTATTCTTTAGAAAAATGGCTTCATTTGAGAGTATTTTGTATTGCTCTTTTAATATTTGAACTACCACATTGCTATTTGCTTTTGACTGGGGATATTAGCTGTAGAAATAAAGATTTTTACCAGTTGATCATAATATGCATTTAACTATCTAGTTTCCCAGTCTCTGTGCTATTTTAACCCCCTTGTGTATTTGCACTGGCCAATGCATTTTGGTGTTGTAAAGAAAAATATGTCTGCTGATACTGTGTTTGGCTTTATGCCAAAAAAGGGTAGTTACTCCTTTTATTTAATGCAGGAAGACAAGTAGTCTTTCGCTTTTCACTCATAGAATTCTGAAGCTTCCTTAGATGGTGTTATGGAGAAGTCTTACTGGTTTTGTCTCTACTTAAATAATCCATTAAATGCTGTCTGATGTTTGGGAGGAAAAATGTTTTGAGATTGAAAACTGTAGATTTACTAAAAATAATATAAGCAGGGATGTGAAAAAAAGGATTATGTGACTTAAACCCCCACATTTTTAAAACATTCTGAAATAATAATTTCGGAGTGTTGACCAGTTTGTTACCATTGTAGAGTTTTGCAGCTGACTTGTAGTTTTAATATATTTTTACAGAATAGCCAGTTTTAGGGGAGATGTGAGAATTAGAACCCTAAAAGGTGTTCCCTAAATGCGGGGGGGAAGGGGCAGTTAATGTATTTTGGTGATTCCTAACACCTTATTTTTTGATAGATTTAAAATTTGAAGTGCAGTAGCTCATATCTGATTTTTTTTGTGTGTGTCTTAATTGCTGTTTAAACAGAATTAAAAGGATAGTTGCAAAAAAAAAAAAAATTCAGTGTGGTCTCTATGTAAAAGCAACTTGATCACAGAATCACAGACTGGTTGAGGTTGGAAGGGACCTCTGGAGGTCACCTGGTCCACCACCCTGCTCAGCAGGACCACCGAGAGCCGGTTGCCCAGGACTCTCTGATGCTGGTTTTTGGTTTTTGTGTATTATTTATTTGTTTTGATCCTTAAAAGGAACACTGGAGGTGGTCCTCTGGATTTGGTGCATTTACCCTCTACCATTTGTCTCTGCTTATCTTCACTTGCCAACTTTTCCTTTTTGTTTCTTTGAAAGAGGCCTTTTAAAGCTGTCCGATGTAAAAGTTAATTTCTCTCCTTTTATTTGCAGAGTGCCGATAATGTAATTATCTTTCTCAAGTTAAGGGGAAAGACCCTAGTATGTGTTCAGAGCTTACTGGTATGGTTCTTCTATGTTGCTCACATATGCAGTAATGTATGTACTGTTTTGAGGAAACCCCTTCTGTGAGATTGCCACCTGCATGAACATGTGTGATGAGAGATCCCATTATTTTCAGATTAATATATGTTGCTTCAGTCACCTGGGGAATGTTGCTTCATTTCTGACTTTTTTTCCCCCCCTGAATATATTGTTGTGTTATTCTGTTCATGTCTCATATTTGTAAATTCCAAGTGTCCTGTCCAGTCTTTTCCATTGATCTTGGAGTTGAATCTGAGCAATATGTCTCAGTTGGTCTCCTAAAGAAATGTAACTTACACAGTTGTACTGTCTGAGAATCCTAGTAACCTTTGAACCTCTTGGCCGATTTCAAACAAAATTGAGACATAGTTGTTTCAAGTTGCTGTATATTTTATGAAAACGGGTGGCCCATTTAAAGGCAAGCGACCATTAAATCTCTTAAACAGGAAAGACTGAAGTATGACCTCAACTATTATTAAACATCAGAGAACTGGGGGCAGGGCGGAGGAGGTGTAACAAGTGCTCTAGTGAAAGAAAAAAAGCTAATATTAGTGTTTACCTTTTATTTGATATCAGAAATCCAATTAGAAAGCAAAATCCTGAAAAGTCAGGCTTTATGCTTCCTCTTGAGGTGCTAAGAGTTAGTAAAGCAATTCTTTCCTTGTCTGCTTTTATGCAGGAATTAGGAACAGCTAAGAAAAATATTTGATGGTAATTTTTCGTTCTGGTAGGCATGTGCTGTGTTCAGGAATAAGGGACTCGCAATATGAAGCTCCAGAGCAGTTTGCATTTTCTCTCTGTCTTCAGTGACATTGAGGGGAGTGTGCTATCATGGATACTGGTGAGAAAGTGATTGGATTGTCAGCTTTGTTCTCTTGCTGCTGCTCTTACTTTCAGGAATTTGAATTTTGTCATAAGGCCTTAATTTTCATGAACGCTCCCGGCATTAACTCTATTGTGCACAGAACCTGTCAGCAGGCTTCAGCAGGGTGGGAGCGGTGCTGAGGTGTGGCTACAAACACCCACTCACCATTTTAGTTTTGCATAGACAAAGAGTACCTCCGGTTTTGTTTTCCAGGATGTGTGCTGATGAATTAAGGAGAGGAGATGATTATCTGTTGATGGAGTCTAATAAAATACATTCCAGTTAAAATGGCAGCAGTCAGGATGTGGTGCTTGAGGAATTGGGAGTAATCTGATAACTGCTGTCTGAAGTTGTGAAACTTGGGCCAACCTAGAGTTGCTTCTGTGTCCATATACTGCTTGCTGTAAAGTTCTATAACTTTGAAAATTATCAGGTTTTTAAATGTGTTGATGTTGGTGTTATTTAGCTTTTGGTGTAGGTTACCAGTACCAAAACATTATTAACTTTAATTGTTACAGGAAATTCAGAGTTAAATGCACAAATAACTGAGTGAATGTTGCAGTGTAATTTAAGGTGGGATAAAGTGCAACAAAAATGGTTGAACCAGTTCTAGTAACTGATTAATGCCAAAAAGGGAAGATGTTACTCTTCCCTGTTCCTGCTCATGTGTGATGTCCTGCCCTCTGCGACGGCTTGGTTCTTGTGCCATACCCCCTGCTGTGTCAAGTCAGAAGTCAGCTCACTGATTAGCAGAAAGCTCTCTGGTTTTGAGGTTTTGTGTGTGCTGGGGAGTGGTGGTGGTTGTTTTGTTCCCCCCAGCCTCGGTTTAGTTTTCTGTCAGGCTTATGAGTTGAATTGGCTTTCTAGAGCAGTCCAGTGAGCCCCAGAAATCGCTCAAAGTAGGCAGCAGGAGCTCAGACCCCAGAATGAGGACCGAGAGAGAGAATGGCGTTGCACTGTTGCCCTTTGACTAGTGATAAATTGTTAGATTGGTTCAAGCTACCTTGTGCAACTTCATCCTACCGAAACCCAAGTAAGTTGAGCAAGATTTTGAGAAATTCCTGAATTTTGAATAGTTTTTGATATAGATTTTTATTGAATATTTATCTTCCTTAACTTTAACAGGGTAGGATCCTGCTAGTCTTTAATTTCTTTTTGGCTTATTTACAGTTTGACTGTGGCTTGCACGTAAGTAACACTGCATCTGCCAATGTTCAACTGCTTAATGAGCAATTAAGCTTCACTAAACCCAGTATACAGAATATTATTTATTGTGACCTAATCTTACCAGTGCTTCCTATTGCCTTAGTATTTGCACTTTATAAATCTCATCGCCTAATTAATCCCTATAGTAAGAAACAGGGGGGAAAAAGGGACTATGTTGTTACAGGAGTAGTGAAACACACAAACTTAAGTAGCATCTCTGAAAATGTTCAGTTTCCTAGAAATAACTTTTGAGGAAATTGACATATATTTTTAAAGAGACTAAAATTTTGTTTAGGTTATACCTTGTACAGATCTACTGGAGCTTGTTTCTGAAGTTAAGGAAGTTTTGCTTCCTTTCTGAAACCTTTGATATTCAAGAGTGGGTATTTTATTGCTCCCCTGAGATGAATTCTTTAGAAGGATTGAGGGGGGGAGAGGAAGAAAACCGTGACAACCTTTTTAGCATTGCGTATTCATTATCTGACCACCAAGTAGCTTGGAGTTGAGGAATCATTCTGGCAGTATCGCATAGTTATTCTTGTTCATTACCCTTTCTTTAAAATGAGAATATTTTGGGGGGAGGAATATTTAAAGTTTGTGTTTTAAGTTGTTTCTTAAGTTGATTTTTCAGCTGACGAGAAAGCAAAAAGGATGGTGAAGTCTTAACGAAAGCAATCTCAATTAGGATTTCTCTGGTCAGTAAGGGCTTGTGGTATGTTATTAGAAATAACAATTATTTTTATTTTTATTTATTTATTTTTTCTTCCCCCCAGGTGATTCATGGCAGGGGACGTGGAAGGGTTTAGCTCCTCCATCCATGACACCAGTGTCTCTGCTGGATTCAGAGCACTGTATGAGGAGGGATTGCTTCTTGATGTCACACTTGTCATTGAAGACCACCAATTTCAGGCCCATAAAGCACTGCTTGCCACCCAGAGTGATTACTTCAGGATTATGTTCACAGCTGATATGCGAGAACGAGATCAGGACAAAATCCATTTGAAAGGTCTGACAGCTACAGGCTTCAGTCATGTCCTCCAATTCATGTACTATGGAACTATTGAACTGAGTATGAACACTGTTCATGAAATCCTTCAGGCTGCCATGTATGTCCAGCTTATAGAGGTGGTAAAATTTTGCTGCTCTTTTCTCTTAGCTAAAATCTGCTTAGAAAACTGTGCAGAAATTATGAGACTTCTGGATGATTTTGGTGTAAACATCGAAGGAGTCAGGGAAAAATTGGACTCCTTTCTGCTAGAGAATTTTGTGCCACTCATGTCCAGACCTGACTTCCTTTCATATTTGAGCTTTGAGAAGCTCATGTCTTACTTGGATAATGATCATCTGAGCAGGTTTCCAGAGATAGAGCTGTATGAAGCTGTTCAGGCCTGGCTGCGCCATGATAGAAGACGCTGGAGGCATACGGACACCATCATTCAGAACATCAGGTTTTGTTTGATGACACCATCCAGTGTTTTTGAGAAGGTTGGTGCATTTGAAAAGCAATAGACAGGATTCATCATTTAGCTAGGGCAGCATGCCATTAAATAGGTAAGATTCCCAAACCTATTAGGAGGAACAAAAAGATAGCATTTATTTTTCTAATAAACCCGTAGAAGACAAACATCTAGGAGTATTGTCATCTGATTATTAGACAATAGTATGTACAGTGGCTGGAGAACAGGTAGGTTTACAATACATGTTTTTAAGTGACTTCATATGGCAAGGACATTTTAAAATAAGGTCACTTGTATCAAGTTTTATTTCAGTTGTTATTACTGTTTTCCACAAGTTGCTTCCTGCTTTCCAGAGATTTTTAGAGCTGCATACAGTATGTAGGGCATATGTCATGATAATTGTTATCAATATAATCAAAACATAGTGATTGTAGATTTTACGTGTTTTAAGTACAGATTCTTTTATTTACAAATGAAAACTAGCATCTGCTGTTAAATCTTCAGGGTGTTTTTGTTGTTATTGCATCTCCAGTGCTTGTGCTGTTACACAGCAGTTGGAAGTAAGCCCTGATCCTGCAAAGTTACGCATACATTTGATTCTACACAAGGCACATAATACAATCACAACTTACTGACGGTGTGAAATGTAATAATTTAATTTAAAAATCAGAGGAATCTTTGTAACAGGTGATCTAAAATTCAGCTGACCATTGTATGTATTAAGAGGTTAAAAGAGAACTTGCTTTTTCTACTGTTCGGTTGAAGAATAGCCAAAAAATGTTGTTTTCTAGTTCCTGAGAATCTCTGAGTATTTGTCAACAGTAGAGAATTACAAAACTTTGTAAGCAGCTCTCTCACAGGCTAGTAACAGTAAGGTTATTCAGGTTAGGAATTACTTAAACTGTGCTGTTTTGTTTTAACAATGTTAATTTTGTGTGATAAGATACAACTTTAACTTGTGTATTTTTCACCTCTTAGTGAATTAATAGGATTTAAGACCCTGTGTTTTTGTTGGGCTTCTTACAAATTAATTTCCTATATATTTTTACTTTGGTATCTAGTGAATATACAGATAAGGTTGTATTGTTCTTGGTGGTTCTAAGGGCTACTGGGTCGTTTAAGCAGTAATGCTTACGCTTATTTGTATTTTAAATTATAAAAGCTATTAATTACTTCAGAGACTAGTGAGTTTTTATATTTTGGATTTTTTTTGCGTGTGTGTGAATTGAGTAGAGGAAGTAATAATGCATAAAATATGTTTATGATCCTATATTAGCCTATAGACATAAACAAAATAAATACCTAAATGTATTTTAGAACAGTAATGTAATGTTTATATTGGGTTAAAATATTTCCAACTAGTAAGAGCTGAACTCTGCAAGATCCTGTGTAGCATCTTGTTTTTAATAACGCTTTTACCTTATTATTACATCATTTAAGCCCTTCAGTAGGAAAACTGGTAGGATTCACAGAGTATTCTTAAGGTCAATCTAATAGGGTAAGGCTCGTCTGAAAGAGTCTGCTTCAGCTCTTTGAGTTTTTGGGATACAAGGTCAAGCATCAAGCTGTCTTCAGCTAAATTTCTGTGAGTGCAAGTGAAAAGTATATGTTGGTCTTCAGCATTACATGTAGGTATAACTTCTGGAGCTGGTTTTGGTATCAGTGGTATAAACCCTGCATACAGTGCTTCTCATGTTTTATCCTGACAGCTACCAAATGGCCAGATAGGTACAACTTAAAGAGAGAAGTCATTTTCAGCATCCCAGTTTATATATCCACATGTAAAAGCTTTATCTGTGAATACCCTTTCCATTAATTTTATGTGGGAACAGAGAGAGGCCAGTGCAGATTCTGGAGTGGGACAACTCAGCAGAGGGAAGCACAGCTAAATAAGTATGTCATTTGTTGCTGCAGCTAGGGATGTATTTGTGTTTTGCCCTGGCTAGAGAGCATTGAATAATCCAACATGGCAAGTGACAAAGGACAACTGCAGTTGGAGCTAACATCAAAATATAGACCACACTTTTTTTTTTTCTTTAAATAAAAGAGCATGTCTGTTAACCATTCTGGAGGTAACCTGAGGAGAACTCTTCTGTTTGTAGAAGGGGGGAAATATTGGTAAAACTGCTTCTTTTGAAGATCCACAAACAGAATTCACCCTTCTCCTGAAGCCAGCACATACTAAACGCCTGCAAGAATGTACCAAATACAATCTGAGGTTGACTCTTACAGTTCAGCGAGCTCTGTATTCGCTATACGCTGGCTGGCTTGTCATATGTACTCTTACGTAATCTCTCTAGTACGTGTTTCTAAGGTGCCTGTCATTGTAGTATATAAATAACTTACATAACTTAACTTTGCAAGTCACAGTAAGGATACTTCTAGCTTCTGAAGCCATTCTATTTCTTACATCATTTTTTTGAAGAGATTTACAATCTGAGTGGGATGGCTTGTCCTTTTTAAAAGGAATTGATGAGTGACTGTAGATTTATACCTTGAGGCTGATGTGCATTTGGAGTGAAGCTGCAGCCTGTTTGCTTACTCTAAACTGTCCTGGAAGAACTGCTTCTGAAGTATGAATAGATACTCCTTTTGTTCTCAGCCCTTAAAATAGATGTAGATATATGAGGGAAAATGGAAAGATAAATGAAGTAAGGATTTGGGGAATAGTTAGAAAATAAAGGCAAAGTGTATGGGGAGAAGCACAAGTTCCACTATCCATGTTACACTTTTCTTTATTTGAAATGTATCCATGGCTCTGTAAGTTTTGAGAAAGGTTGGAAATAAAAGTTAGAGGCCATTTCTCCTACATCATTGAGTTCATCTTTGTGTTATTGGAGGCAACCATGTCATGATTTCCCTTCATATACTGTTTAAGCTCCATTTAGTTTCTATGTACTACTCAAATTGAAATGTTGTTTCAAAACCTCTGTCCTTAAAATCAAAAGGGTTTTTTTGCTGTCCAGTCTGTAGGGTTTGTTATGACTAGCCCATGCTGATTTATAAATTCTCAGCTTAAATCAGAAACTTACTGATCACTAGATGCATCAGCTTCTGCTTTACGGGTAGGATGAATAGCACATTATCTTTGAGTATGTGCTTTCCTGTGCCTAGAAAATAGTAACTTTTGAGAAGATGTCATTGTAGTTTTGTGTCGTTACCTTTGATAAATGTGTTTAATTTCTCTTTTTTTTTCTCTCATTTACTTCCATGTCTATTAATTCATATGTATATACTTCTACAACTTTGTATGCTGAAGCTTAGAATAAGAAGTGTCTAGTGGATGAGGTTAGTGAGCCCCTCTTATCTTAAATAGGTGCTTGATATTTTTATGTCTGAAGGTTATTGCTGACTTGGATAGATTTGCTAGCAGTATTTATTACATGCTGAGCATCTCAATTCTGGCATATAGATTGTTGGCTCCATTCTGGTTTGAGAGATTAGATTTGAGTTAGATTCCAGCTTGATTGTGATAATTTCTCTTGCCAGTTTCTAAAAAGGAACAGCAAAATACTCAGTTTGAGGCCATTGCCCTTGCTGCACAGAGGCGATGTCATCTTGTCGTTCTATGGTTAGGCTGAAAAACAGTAGCACTTGCAAAATAGCCCTTCGAAGCCCTATACTGGTACTGACCAGTTTTTGTACTGGCCATGGGATGTAACTAAGTAATGACCCATGATAGAAAAAGGGAAAGTAAAGTTAAGCATAGCAGCTTGTCCAATGCTATGTATACTGATGTTTGGTTGCAAAGTAATTTTGGTTGCTGCTGTTTTAGAGACATACGTGTGACTTTTTCTATTTGACTGAATTTTGATTTGGAGTAAGTGTGTTAACATTTTGATAATGTTTGTTGACAGGCTTACAATTGTGCTTAGAATATGGCCAGAGATAAGTAGATGTGAAAATAATAAGGATAGTAGTTAGTGGGATTGATGGATCTTTAGTCTTGATTCAGCTTAATCTCTAGTAAAATATAAATTTTTTTGCAAGTAAAAGGAAGAATTTGCTCACTAGAAGTCTGATACAGACACCATCATTATTCATTGAAAAGGTGTAGCATAGCTTCTGTATTCCTAGTGATTGAGTTTGAGTTGCATCACTTACACATTCAGAATTGGCAGTTTTAGAAAACTTCAGTAAGCACAATTTTATAACCTTTGAAATAGTTCTCTGCTTACATGGCTAGAGATGATGGTCACATTATAAGCCATTCAGATTTTTTCTGTGTTTTTTTTTACCAGTTCTACAGAAGGAACCAAGCTAATATCTACCCCATATAATAACATGTTAAGATTTAGTTACCAGGTGTATAAATAATAGATGTTTAGTTTAGGCACTTCAAAAGTAGCCTTTCTTTATGGTTTTGAAAGCCCAAGTAACAAAATACAAATAGAGCAATAGCTGTAAATGGTTGTATGGGGGGGAGGGGAAGAGAAACTTGTGTTACAGATTATTTACCTTGCATTTCATTGCTCTTCCTGCAGCTTATTAATTTGCTTAATTGTTTTAAGGGGGGAAAGATGATGAACATAACATGGGATACATCTGGTCCTTTGTGGGGATTGCTTTTCAAATTAGAAACTAATGGCTTACATTTTTGGCTTTACTTTTTCATAGAATATAGATGGAAAATTCCGAAACTTGCATAGCTGCTGCAACTAGAAAAGCATGCATTGCAATACAGCAGAAAAATAGGCAATGATTAATAGCTGCATTAATTTGGAAAGCCAGCAGTTTTTACTGAATGCTTCACTGTTCCAAAATGAAGACAAGAAAATGCATTCAAGCTCCAATTTACTATGGCTGGAGGGATGGTGGTGATTTTGGTGAAGTCTTGATGTTTTTAGTATTGACTACCTGGGGGGTAAGTATAGAGGTGGATGTTTTTAATTATTTTCCTCATCTTCTTTTTTTATGGAATGACACATTTGATTTTGTTTATGCTGTTCCCTGTTGTGTAGCTAAAAGTCCAACTGTGAACCACTGTAACTGGTAGATGATGCAATGAGAAGTTCTCATTAGAGTTCTTCGGGGAGCTCTTACGTTAGCGCTGTGTCCCAGCTGAACCTCTGTAAGAAGGTTTTGTCCAGAAAACTGAAGAGAAAGAACTGGAAAGAATGTAAAAAATCACATGAGCAAAGCTTTAGCACCCGGATTAAATTCCTTTTTTATAATAAGACTGGGGTTGGTAAGGAAGTCCGACTTAAACTTTCTTTGAGACCCTTCAGCAAGATAACGGAATAGTCTTTCTTTAAACTTTGAAAATCCTATGAAGCATTTATATTTTTTTGTCAATTCAGAGTTCATGATGTACTCTTAAGAATGCACATTTGTTTAACTTCAAGGTTCATCACGGTTAGTGTACATTTCCATCTGTTTTGGATGTTTTGCAGAAGCTTGTGAGCGTTCTCTCTAATTGAGTATATTGGTAATTAGGGGCATGTTCCTTCTAGAGCTTCTCCATTTGAACTTAACAGGAAAATCGCTCTATTGGTGAGCACTTAGATATTTGTTGATCAACTACTTGTTGCTACTTACAGGTAATGGCAGAAGCCTACTTTTGAATGCTGAGGGATTTCCTTCAGCGTATTTTGGGTATCAGACAGCAATTCCCACAAAAGGCTTGCTGAAAGCCATGTTCTTTAATCTACTAAAACTAAAATTATATGTATGACTTACAGTTGTGTTTTAATACCTAAATACCTAAATTTTCATGCTTCTCTTTTTCGATTGTAGACACAAGTAATTAAAAGTATTGTAAAATTATTCAGAAGTGTAGGTTTTTGGAAGGTTTTCCTTACTATGGGCTGAATAGGACTTTCAAATAATTCTGGAAGATTTCATGCAGACAGTGTGTGAATGTGAAAGTGGGCAAACTGACCTACATTTGCTTTGTCTTCATTTGCATCAAGCAAGCGTGAGCAGTCTGTACTTTCATATAGGCATTTCCTAACATTAATCTTAGACCATCATTTGAGCCTCAGGAGAGGTACCGCTCTTGTGTGGCAGAGGTTGTGCTGGTGAATGGTGGAAGGCTAGAAACACTGATATTTTTCCTCAACAGCAAAGTATAGGAAGCCTCCAACTGCCTTTTCTTACCAGAATTTAGATAGCCTGTCACTCTGTTTTGTTTTGTGGTATTTTTTTTTCCTGAATATTGTAAGCATTGCTAGTGCTTATATATTTTCATGTTCGTCTCTTCAAGATTGTGCTTGTAGATAGCTTCCCCATGAACTTCAGTCTGAAAGAGTTGTTTAGAACTGGTAGTTGCATTTGCTTCTCAATGTCTTTCTAGTTTAAGGTAAGAGATTGAGGCTTTGCTTTGATGTTAGTGCCTTTGTCAAGATAAGTAGTAGTAAACTGCTAATAGATTGATTCCCTGGTCTTGAGATTCTCTCTCTGGAATTAGATATTCCTTGTTTCCTTTTGCATGCTCTCATGGGGGTGAGATTTAGGCTATGTGAAGGAGTAGAGTGGTGAGGATATGTGAGGCTTATTTTAATTCCGGTTTCTGGCTGGCATTTCAATTTCTAGATCTAAAGACAGAGTTGTAACTGTTGAGGGGGAAAGAAAAAACATATTTCATCTCTGCCAGGCTCTGCTGGCATGCTTCATGTTGTAAGCGTGTTGATCCTGTTGTCTTCCATAATCATCCAAGAAAACTTGAAATGCATATAGGTAACAAAAATCGTTTATCTTTTTGTTTAATTCCAAAAATGATAGCTCCAGTTTGGGAATGCATGAAATAGTCGTGCTGTTTTAGAATTTGAAAGTTACTTTTAAGGATAAAGTAACCCACCCATGATTCTTTGTTACTTTAACTTCCTGTTTCATTTTTTGTAACCTTTAAGGCTTTCTATATTTTTCCATTTTTCTGTGCTGTGGTTCTCCCCGCCAACCCTCCCCCAGCATATTTTCTGGAATTTATGTTCAATCTTTTCAGTCAGGCAAGGTATATGGTTTATTCCAACAAATGCCATATGAGCAGATCTCCTGTGTTTTGTATGATATATTATTTATTTGCAATAAGAAAATAGATCTGTTATTTTCCAGAAGAGTTGGGCTTACTGTGGGTGTTTTACAAGCACTATGCCTAAGTAAACCTTTTTGCTCCATAATCACCCTTGGTAAAAATGGTAGAAAGCAGTTGGATGTTGCCTCGAGAATAATATATGTAATCTGTATGTGACCATCCTCTTTTTCCAAGCAAAGATAAGTTGAACTTGTCAAAATAAAGCGGGGGAAAGAAAAAGTGTAAATAAAACCATCAAATCACTATAACTCTTGAGCTATACAGTGCTTTACAATGGTAGGTTAGTATTCAGGTTTTTTTTTAAATCTGGTGTATAAAACAATCTCAAAATCTGTGCAAATCATGTCCAATAATAACAGTTCAAAAGATTTTTTTTAAAATGTTTATCTGACAGCAGAATGTCTTAATTACTATGCAAGGAAGAGAAACTATTAACAGAAAGCTAACAAAATTTTAATAGTACATGTTTATGGAATAAGCAACTACTTTATTCACAAGGTATAAAGAACATTCATTTCCAAATTGCTTTTCATATATATGAAAACTCATACCACCACCCCTTAGGTAAGTGGTGGTACAGGCTTTATCTGACAGCAGAATGTCTTAATTACTATGCAAGGAAGAGAAACTATTAACAGAAAGCTAACAAAATTTTAATAGTACATGTTTATGGAATAAGCAACTACTTTATTCACAAGGTATAAAGAACATTCATTTCCAAATTGCTTTTCATATATATGAAAACTCATACCACCACCCCTTAGGTAAGTGGTGGTACAGGCTTTTGTCCCTTGGGACTGGGAATAGGAGGAGGTGGGGGAACAGATACTGAAAAATAGTAGCTTCTGGTGTTATCTTGTGGTCGCTTTGAAATTTCAGAGTGGCCTCACATTTTTTCAGAGCATTGCTTCCCTTTTTGGAGCTAGGGGGAACTAAAGGTATTTGGAGTGTTTGAAAGCAATCCAGTCTTATGTGAAAGAAACTGGGACTTAGGATCAAATCTTATAGAGGATTTGTGGATTTGGCAATATCTAGTGGGTTTTCATTTGGTTTAGATGTGTAGTTCAGAATGCTGCATTAGACCAGACTGTACAGGAAGAGTGAAGCCTCTTTGAAGAGAATCACACGGTGACCTGAGGGCTGCCTGGAGCTAGATTAGTTAAAATGTTCAAGACAGGGATGTGTTTTGGAATTGTCTCAGGACCAGTCTCAGGAACTTAAATTGCCTTAGATAGTAGGAAGGATCCTGGAAAGGTAAATTCTTACAATCTTCCCCCCACTCCAATAAAACTGAGCAGGGATAGCTCTTTTCAAATTGAGATGGCACTGAGAAGGAGCACTTCTGTGTGGTAATTCAAAGGTTGTAACTCTCACCTGGGAATTGGAAGTTCAAACCTACCTCCACCATTTACCAAATAAATGCACAACCAAAGGATTATAGGTTGAGATGTTCTCCTCTTGTGTTAAAGACGTTTGTTAACATGTGGAGAGTCACAGAGGGGAAACCATAAGGTAACCATCATGACGAGTGGTTAGTGCAATCTGTTCTGAAGGAAGGGGTTTGGGTACCTTCCTTTCCCACCCCACCCCAATTAAATAGCCCTGTGAGCAGGGCCTAGCATTTGGGAATACCTGCTTGGGCTTGGTTGTGAGAATTCAGCAGAAATTAAGACTAGGGTAGACCTTGGTAAACACAGAATGGGTGTGTAGAATGTTTTTCAAAACCAGGAAAATAGTGCATTTTTAATTTAGGCGCTTCAAGGATTAAGCAGAAGATGAACAGAGGCTTTTTTGGGGAGAAGGAATAATGATTTTTAGACTTGGGGATTTCAGCTGTGCCTAATTCCGGCTTAAATTCTACTTGTGAGTATTCTGCTGAAAATGTTAGTCACTGCCGTTAATCACTAAATTGCCTTCTGGACTTTGGATAACAGTACATTAGCTTAAGCCTCCATGCACAAATGCAATTGCTTTCAAGATTGCCTGAATGAAACTAAGTAAAATAATCTTCTAATGACACATAGTCATGTAGGTTTTCTGGATTGTTTCTCTTGGTCAGAATTTTAATATCTTTTAAATGTATTCGTAGGTAAAAACATCAGAGTTTTATCGATACTCCCGGCAGCTGCGACATGAGGTTGACCAAGCCATGAATTACTTTCATAGCGTTCACCAGCAGCCTTTGATGGAAATGAAATCGAACAAAATTCGTTCTGCCAAACCCCAGACTGCAGTATTTAGAGGAATGATAGGACACAGTATGGTAAACAGTAAAATTCTTCTCTTGCACAAACCGAGGGTCTGGTGGGAACTAGAGGGTCCTCAAGTACCTTTACGACCAGACTGCCTTGCCATTGTGAATAACTTTGTGTTCCTATTAGGTGGGGAAGAACTGGGGCCAGATGGTGAGTTTCATGCTTCATCCAAAGTGTTTAGATATGACCCAAGACAGAACACTTGGTTGCGAATGGCAGACATGTCTGTTCCACGTTCTGAGTTTGCTGTTGGAGTTATTGGGAGGTATGTTTATGCAGTGGCTGGGAGGACCAGGGATGAAACGTTTTACTCAACTGAACGGTATGATATCACTGAAGATAAATGGGAATTTGTGGATCCTTATCCAGTCAATAAATACGGACATGAAGGGACTGTGCTTGGTAACAAGTTGTATATCACTGGTGGAATTACATCATCTTCAACTTCTAAGCAAGTGTGTGTGTTTGATCCCAGTAAAGAAGGGACAGTAGAGCAGCGAACAAGGAGAACTCAAGTGGTCACTAACTGTTGGGAGAACAAATGCAAAATGAATTATGCAAGATGCTTTCACAAAATGATTTCTTATAATGGTAAGCTTTATGTCTTTGGTGGTGTCTGTGTGATCCTGAGGGCCTCCTTTGAATCTCAAGGATGTCCTTCTACAGAGGTTTATGACCCAGATACTGATCAATGGACTATATTGGCTTCTATGCCAATTGGTAGGAGTGGTCATGGTGTAGCTGTTCTGGACAAACAGATAATGGTTCTTGGAGGCCTTTGTTACAATGGTCATTACAGTGATTCAATTCTCACCTTTGATCCAGAGGAAAACAAATGGAAAGAAGATGAATATCCAAGAATGCCGTGCAAGCTGGATGGCTTACAAGTCTGCAGCTTGCACTTTCCTGAATATGTTTTGGAGCATGTTAGACGTTGCAGCTGAAACAGAATGAACAACCCAATGAAATACAAAAAGCTATACCTAATTTGTCAAAAAATACAAACCAGTTGAATTCCTTCAGAGACATTTCCTTGTGTATAAGAACAACTGCTAAATGCTTAAGAGGAACAGGATGTACAGGGAGTGTACATACCAAATTTATTAGAAAAGCCAATAGTTGGTCTGATATTGTAAAAGCTTTGGTTTTTTTTTTAATAAACATAATTGTAAGTAGGGGAAAGAAAAATATATTTTTGAGTGTGCTTATTTTTTTGGTAACATTTTATGTCCATAATACTTTCTTCTTTTCTTTTTTTTTTTGTTTTTTTTTAATGGCCATTATAGCACTATTCTCAAATCAGTTGAGTTTAACAAAATATTTGTGGAAGGAAGAGAAGAAAGACTTTGTTTTCATTTTTTATTGAGCATCAAAGTAAAACTCATCATCTGTACTAGGGTACAACCAGGTATAAAATAACAAAACTAAACCATTCCTGTATTTTATGTTGTCTTTTGGGTGCTTTTCCCATTAATTGCGAAGTATTCTCAAATCTACTAGGTGTTTTTGTTTTCCCTTGTATACGTTGAAGAATAATCTTAACCTCTTTGCATGACCTTTTTCCTGGTTTTGTATAGTAGTACCAGTAAGTCTGCCAAAATGCAGATTACACATTTTCTATTAAATTGAAGACAAAACATTTTCATATTCAAAACACTATTTCTATGCTGCCTTCTATTGTCTGCATTGTGTTTGTCGGTGAGTAAAAAATATATACACACACCTGCATACACTGTAAAAACTATATATAAATAGGTCTTTTTATGTGCAGTTACAATATTATATTTTAACTAGTGCACAGATTCAGCCATATCTGTTGAGTTTAAGATATAGTACTGTCCTTTAATGAGCTAAATAATTCGAAGTTCTTAAGTAACTGGAGGCCTCGTTTGGTATCGAAGTATCTTATCTTTAGTATATACTGATGGATTCAGTAACTTTAAACTCTTTATATCAATGCTATATAATGAACTGTTGATAATTTGTTATTTTATAAATTATTTTTTAAAAAGTAAACACATCTTACCTGAGTTTCTTTTATGTTTGAATGTGCTGCCCAGTTTTCTTTTTTATGAAAATGGAAAATGTCAATAAGCAAATGCTCAGTACTGCTTCAATCCACAGGTATTTTCAGAACTGGATATACTACAGTTTATTCTCAGTACTTTGCTTGTACTCATACTTCAAGTACAATACTTTGTACTCGTATTGAAGTGGTATAATCTTTTTATTATTATTATTATTATTTTAATTATCAACTGCTAAGAACTACTGTGTTTTGAAAATGTGGAGTTAGGTGGTTGGATGGTTAGTACCGTTTATGTTTCTTTTACAAAAAAACCTACACAACTATAGCTACTGACCTCGGAGTGCCTGAATCAAGATGTGTCGTCCAGGAGGGCTTTGAATAACTCCATTGTATTAACTTGCAGACATTACTGACTGTAGATTGGTAAGAATTATCTGCCAAGACATAAATAATAACAGTAATTACATTCTGATTATCTTTAATGATGTGAAATTAGTCACTTATAGAATCTAAAGGAGAGATTTGGAGAAGATGAAGGCTCACACTTAGTTCAGATGCGTAGGGGCAAAATGCTGAAACATGCACCTGCATATTTTGTAAAACCTTATGCTGCTGTGTTTCACTTTAAGCAATAGACTTTACTTCATATGCAGCAATGCAAAACCACTTCATTCAGCATCTTCCAGTCAGAAATCACTGTAGAAAAGGAATGTACAGTACTCAGGGAGTTCAAAAGAATGCACTTACAAAAATCACCCTAAATTTCCTATGTTAAAAAAAACACCTACTTGCCTAAACTAAGTTTGAAATAATTGATAGAAGTTAAAATGACATGTAAAACTCCTCATACTTGTGTTTTGATATTTCTGTAGTAATTATGTTCTGGGTTGAGATGTGAGGATTTGGAGCTATATGGCAAGTTGGCAGATTTTATTTTTCTTTTTTTTTGTTTTTAATTAGAAATGATTTATTGATAGCGTCTTTTCTTTCCGTATGTTTTAACAGAAATGTATGCCATCATATCTGTAGCGATAAGTTACACCAATAGTGACCGGACCAAATACTGATACTCAGCCTTCTGATGCAGACTAGTTTGCGGTTAAATTTAAGTCCTTTTTTCTTTTTTTTGATCAAAATTCAGTTTACTGAATTAGAAATCTAATTTACTTTCTTAATAGCTTAACTTAAAGCCAGCGTGGCTTACACTAAAACCTCAGTTTCACTGAGACGTGTGTACGTTACCCTGCATGGGTGCAGAGATAAACTGACTCCAGTAGGTGCTGACTGTGTGCAAGTAAAAAGATTCTACTGTTCATGGAATATTGGGGCACAAGAAAAAAACAAGGTTTTTTTATTGCTTTTATTCTTTTTGTCACCAGCTCATTTCTCAATAAGTTTATGGGGCAGCAAAAACTAATCCTGCTTGAGTAGGCTTTCATGGGCATGTTACGTATAGTACGGAGTACTTCACTTTTATCTAGGGCCAGTCTGGGGAATGGACGTGGTTCTGGATGTCTGGTCTTCCGTGGTTCAGGTGTAGGAAAGAGACATGGCCAAGACTTTATTAAAAATAATGGTCAGGAGGGGGGTGTCTCGAGTTTTGTTTCTGAGTCTGCATTTAAGCACCTTCTGAAGTTCTGTGCGCTAAGCAACTGCCAGTAAAGTAATTGGTGAGTATTGACACTTGAAACATGAAGAACCAGATCATTTTTAGGTGCTCTGTTTTTAAGTTTATATTTATCTTCAGGCGCCCAGTTCTGAAAGATCTTGTGCAGGATTATAATAGTAATTATTCTGTGAAATTCTAACTTGAACTGTTGTTTTCAGCTTCCCTGAAGTCGTGTCTCCATTGAGAAGCTGGCTGTAACCTTTCGAGCACTAGGAATGATTGGAATTTGCTTGGGTTTAGAACATGTGGGGGTATGAGAGAATGTTTTGTTAATTTACATTTCTACCATGCTTTCATTGTTTCAAACATGAAATATAAAATTAGCTTACGTTCTCTTTTCCATTGCAGTGGAACTTTTGAGACAGTTATTTTTGTTACTTTATATATCAGAGGGATATTTTCTTTTTTTTTTAATTGAAAGTTTCTGTTTGTGTTTGCTTTTAGTATTTAGCTCCAGATAATTTAGTGTTCAAATAAAAACAAAGCTAAGCTGGGTAATAAGAATTGCCTATTACTGTAAAATTTTGAGCATTATGATCAGATTAAGATGGGTTTTAAAAACATTTAAATGCCTTTCATTTGTCAAGGAAAAGGTAAGTTATGATCTTTGATTATTAAGTTGGGGGGGTTTCTTCTTCTATTCCCACCCCAACCATAATGGAATACCAGCAAATCTAATCTCACACACGTATCTTAAATTTTAACACGACCTGCTTTTAAACAGCAAGTGTACTTGCCTTTTCTTAAAAAGGTGGACATAGTGAGTTACAGTCTAGGGTTTTTTCCACTTTTATAGCAAAAATGTATCAGCTTCATGTCTTAATTTAGCAGCTAGCTCCAGGAGGAAATTTTGTTTTCAAATGAGCCAGAATGGACAAAAAGCATAGTGCTCCTGTAAAGGGGTTGGACGCTGCCAGTTCCCATTCCGCATGCTGCTATATCTGTTTTTAGCTCATTTTTCCCCACAAAGTGTTGGTAGTGGTTTCATAGTGGGAGGTACTAGGTGGCAAACAAAACCTTTTGAAATTTTTTTGCCCATTGATTCAGCTGGAGGAAGGCAGTACTTGACTTTACAAAGGCTCTGCTATTTCAGAAAGCGCTGCTAGCAAGAGGGGCTTGTGGCAGCATATGAGCTACCTGGCAACCTGCTTTTATGTTACTTTCTTTTGAAAAGTGTGGATGCCCTACTTTCTGCAGTATGAGAGCAGTCCTGGTATAACTAGCTCTAAGGGTTTGTGACTTCAATATTTCTCTGGTTTCTGAGATTTGCAGCCATTTTTTCTTGAGGACCTCCTGCCTTACAAACCCAGGTGCTGTGTTTTTTCATGCTGATAACATGATAACTACTTGCATCAGGGACGGAGCTTCGCTTGACACTCAGGAAGCAAAGGTTAAAATTCAGCAGGTACAAATTCAAATCAGTTTAAAAAGAAAAACACTACTTAACTCATTATGTCCGTTCTTTTGCAAAAGGAGGGTAAGCATTATGGGGAGACGCTAACGGCTCTTTAAAAATAAACTTCAAGCTTGTGTCAGCATTTATATGACAAAGTCTTTTTAGAAATAGTCACATTTGTAGAGGTATTTTGCCTTTTTAATATATTTTTCCTTACAAAAAAAAAGTAGTGAATTGGGCCCCTCATTCTTTTAACACTTCAAATGTGTACTTCACATATGTGAACAGTCCAATATAAAGAAAACAGAAAACTGCAAGGTACTTAAAACATAAAAGCGCAAATGTTATTAAACCTGTGCTTAAGTGTTTATAGGGTTGGGGGCATCAAAGAAAACATCCGTCCTGCTCTCCTTCCTTTAATAAAAATATAGCTGGTGAAGTTACTTGAATAAGCGTGGTCCATCACATGTGGCAGGGCTCACTGAAGGAGAGTGGGAAAGAACATAACTGGAAAGCACGTGTAATCTATTGAAAACAAAGCTTGCCGGTGTCCTGTAGCTAACGTTTTGAGATTTTAACGTTTGTAAAACAATCTGAAGCTGCTTAAATTCTAATGACTGCTTTTGCATCTGTATTCTATTTTTGAAAGTTGGTGATTAACTTTAAAATTTCCCTTTGTGTGGGTAAACTTCGTAAAACAGTTGTATGTGGCAGGTGGCAGCAAAACTGACTTGTTTTGAGCACAGCTTTCCTGGATTTCCCTCTACTTTTTTTTTTTTACTTCCCAAATTTCAATTAATGTTTATATAGTCTTTTAAAAATAACTTTCAAAGATCAGTTTCAAATACCTTTGGATTAATATTAAGTTGGTAGCTAGGGGAAAACCACTTCTATTTGCAGATGGT